ATGAAAAAGCATGCTGAAAAGACCCGTGTTGGTTTGTGGGGTCAGTCGGTAATCCTGAAAGCAATATGGGGCGTTACACTTGTGCCCACAAAAGCCTGTGAAAAAATAGGGCGGGTTGGGGAGGACATATTAGAGGGTGTGGACCTAAATGCTTGGCCCGCTCCACAATAAAGTGCGGGGAAAACGGGCATGCCTTACGGGTCTTTTTTGCTACCCCTAATTTTAATGGTCTTTTTTACTTGGTTACTCCTTTGTTCGAAGAAGCGCATATGAAGATCCACTATGTGGGTCCCAGTTTTCCATCTGCTTGCTCGGATATCTTACATAACTATTGGACTCAAATACATTACCTAATGGGAGTTGGCTCATACACTTACAAGGATAAACACTTGTCTCTAGAGGAATACATGGCTCATAAACTTATAAGGAGGAAGTGTACCTAAAGTCACTTGGTGGCTTTTTGTAAGGAGCTAAACTGTGTCGATGGTGCTTATAGGCACTGGCCGAAGAAGTGTGCTGAATGCTAATTATGACTTAAAATTCAATATTTTCTTGGAACTTTTCAATACTATTTTTGTGTTTAAGATGTTTAGTCCCATATTTTTATGTACGTTGACATTTGAATTGCATGTGCCTTTGAATTCCCTTATTTGTGTGTTAGTGTGCCGGATTGATGCATAGAAATCAAAGAAAGAGACAAAAAAGCAAGAGAAGGAAGCCAAAGCAAAAAATCCAAAAATCAGCATGCTCGCTGGACGAGCTTAGGCGAAGGAAAAGCGAGCCTCGCCAGACGAGCATATGAGAATTGGAGGCGGGGCAATGTGCTATAGAGGAAGTAGCTAAGGTGCATCATGGTCTCCGGACGAGGTCTAGACAAAGGTGATTGGTTGAACTAGCCTTCCACACTCACTGGGCGTAAGCTATTTTGGCGTTCAGAATTACTGACCGAGGAGAAATTTTCATCATTGATTGCCTTTGATGGGAGAAAGAGAGGCTCATAGAGCGAGTCATTAATCTTATAATTTAATGTGATTGTTATTTACAGGAGCTACAAGGTGATTCTGAAAAATTCTTGGCCATAGAGGTAGATGTGGATCCTTTCAAATATTCTGGCACTTTGGTATAAAAGGTACAACGGCTTTACCCGAAAGGTATCTGGGACGAATAAGGTTTTGGCCTAATATCTCTCATTTTCCTTCAAGGTAGAGGATGTTTGGGAGAAGCGAATCAGTTCTATGATCTTGCTCGCAAAAAAATTGAGGAATTAGAGAAGTCTTTTGAAGAATCCCCAAAAAGTCACAATAAGATCGAGGATGATCTTCATGCAATGCGCCAAGAGAACCTTGATATTCGTAAGGAGTTAGTTAAATCATTACAAAAGGGTTTCATCATCAATAAGGTTGTTTTTAAGAGGGCTTTGAATAAAGTGATGAGTTTTACCATGACGTCCATATCTCTCGGAACCTAGTTCATCTTAATCAAGCCATATAGGATGGGAAAGTGGTATCTCTGGTGGACTAGCTTCCCCGCATCTTCTCCTTTCATATTTTTTTAAATGGAGTGCTTGTGCCTAGAGTTCTAGATTTGATTCTTTTTCCTACAATGTAAATGTGTAATCAATTTCTTATTTATTCGTATTTTACCTTATTTATGGTGTTACTTATGGTCTCAGGTTCATCTTTTTAGGACTCAGATTTTCCTCTAGGTTTTTCCAAAGTGTATTGAACATCTTTAAGGATCGTACTCGCCCAAGGGTCAATAGCCTTCCCATTCCCCCAGATGAAAATATTGTTCAAGGTTGATGCATTGGTGGGCCCACCAAAACCTCTAGAGTAGTTAGCTATCAAGAGGGGTGGCCGGTTATTTTCAAAATTTGAAAGTTATGTGTCTGCGTTGACACCATGGGGTTTTGATTGCTTTAGTCATACACATGGAGCATTCACGACAACACCCCTGAATCTTTGTGATGGGGATTCAATATCTTTGGTCTTTCCTCAGACTCATCGTTACCTTTCATAGTTGCAAAAGAAAAAGAAAATTCAATGAGGGAAAATTCCTTTAATTGAACATTTGTAATACATATTGGTTTTTACAAAACAAAGCAAAAATGGAATTTAACATAACCAGACGACATCACTTCCGCTTGTTGACTGCGTGGAATTTGGTATTTGGATCAGTCGGGGTCATCTACTTCTTTTCACTTGGTTTAGACGATCTGTTTTACTCAGGGGAGGCTTGATGGCCATGCGTTCCAATTATCCAATCAAAGAGGCCATGTTGGTTTCCATGGCGCTAACTTCACCTTCTTTTTTACCTTGTTATAGAGCCTTGTTTTGCTCCTGAAAGATTATAATTAATCATTATTGGCTTGTTGTGGTACTTTGACTTAAGGTGAATCGGGGAGGCCACCGCGTCATGGGTTACCTCAAAAGGGCAACCCAAGAATACAATTCTAAATGTTCCTACAAAGAATGGCCAACAATTGGGAGTCGACCATCCTAATATCACTTCCCTCGCCTAAGGTAATCATCATCCCTACATATGCCTAGGGGGCAAGTTATGGTGTTGTTGAAGTCTTGTAGATCGGATATCTCATAAGGTCATAGTTTTCCTTCCTTAATCCCATCTTCTCAAAGAGATCTGCATACATGATATTGTAAGAACTTTCTCCATCAATTAGTACCCTAAATACATCAAAGTTGGAGATCGGGACCGTTATGACTAGAGGAAATATTTAGTTAGGAACTCCTCTAACCTTCTCATTGTCATAAAAAATGAGGATAGGTCTCTCTAAGTTCTTGCTAGAGGTACTTCATTCCTTCTTGATGAAGGCCATAAAATCGGTGTTCTTTCTCTTTATTGTGCCCTTAGACGAATTATTTGCTCTTACGGCATCCCCCATCATGGATACAATGTATTGACGCTTCCTTTTGTGTTCATCATTTTCCCCATTACTTGCCTCCTCGCCTTTGTTTCCGGTTACGACTTCAACAAATTTCTTAGGGGATTGCTTTCTCTTTGGGGAATCCTCTTAGTCTCTTTTGTCGTCCTTGGTGTACTCAAATAGCCTCAACTTCTTGATCAGTCATTCAATTGCATCCTTCATCAGAATACAATCGTTGGTGTTGTGTTCGTTACTCTTATGAAAATGACAGTACTTAAACTTGTTAGTCTAGGAAGATTCTCTGATCGGATATAGATTCCTTATTCCAGCCTCCTTGAACTCTGTGTTAGCACACTCCTTCAAGATCCTTTCCCGTAAAGTGATCAGGGGAGTATATGAGTTAAATCTTTGACAGAGTCTACACTCACTTTTCTCTTTCGACTGCCTAAAATTCTTGTCCAGTGCACGACTACCCCTATTAGCCAACAACTTTTCTTCATAGTTGATGCATGATTGCGCCTTATTCATTAGGTCTTTTAGGTTGCAGGCCTCATTGCACCCTAGCTTCTCCTGAAATGCACAATCTTGGTCTAAGGCCTTTTCTCAAAGATTTAACACTTTAGGCTCTCATCAAAGCCTGCGACAACCATTTCTACCTTTATGAAGCAGGCGATATAAGTGCACAATGTCTCCTTCTTACCCTGAGTAGCCCTGCTAGCACAACCACGGTGGTTGGTTGTCTTTTCTTGATGGTGAAATAGATAGTGAAATGCTCAAATTTAAACTAGGCTTGGGCGAATTTGGTTGAAGTTAGTGCAAATAGTCTATTGATCGTCCACGTGCTCAATGTGTTTGTTCGGGTCTCAATTTCTTTTGTAACTCTAAAGCCTTAAAGGCTTCTCCAACAAATGGTTAAAGGGTTCTTCTTTCGCAATTGAGACGGGGACCTCTTATTCATTCCTTTCTCTCCTTCTTGGCCGGTGGACTTCGAAAGGGGTGTGTGGTTGGATTCTTCCTTAGTTTGACGGTTTTATGCAAGGCCACCTCCTGCATGATGTTTTTCTTTGAAATATTGTTGTGCAGGCTTTTTTCGATCTAAGTGGGAAGGGGTATGACGCATGTATTGTTGGTGAATTAAAAACTTTTGGATCATTATTAGACACTTCCTTCAGAATATCGTTGTACAAGCTTTTTTTTTAGATCTGAGTTAGTATGTCCGCAAAGGCTTGAGAGTTTTATTGTCAAACCATCTGCTACATAATGTTCATTAATTCATGAACTCCTTGCAGGCCATAGTTAGCTTGCAAGAGTCGGAAATTAGAAAATGTGCCTTCATATTCGATTACAACAGGCGATAATGTAGGTTTGAAGATATGTTCACCTAAGTAAAATTGTAGAATAAATCCACAAATGAATTGGCCATGCAGCCGACCCAAAATAATAATAGCTATATTTGTTTTATTTTGATTTGTAGCTGTATTCATAGGTTTAAGGTTTAATATGTTCGAAAAAAAAATTATGTTGCAATGTCTTTAACCTTAGAAAATGAAAATATTTTTCAAACATTTTGAAGAAAGATGAATAAGTGGAGGTTGTAGATTCTTACGACAGAATGATAATGAATGAAAAAACAAGATTTCAATCGGATTTTGTGGAAAAAAGATGCATTTTCGTTACTATTATTTTAATTTTAAAATCTGTTTATTTTATGGGATCTTATTATGATTCTTAATAATTTTTTCTTTGTTTACATAAGATTTTCAATTATATATACTTAATTTATTTATATCCAATTCAAATGCAATTGAGTCTTAATTCAGATATTTCATAAATTTAATTCGACCAGATTTTTAAAATACTAATTTATTGGTAAAAAATAAATTAGCTTTGTAAATAAATATTTGAAGCTAGATTTTCACACTTTAAATACTTACTAGTAGATAATTATCTCATTTATATAAAAATATGATAATTAATCAGAGATAAGAAATAAAATTCAAACAATGAAACAAAAAATAGTATGAGAGACATTCCCACAAACTATTTAAAAAAAAAAACACAACACTCAACCCTAACAAATCACAAACAAAAGAAACAACTTAGGATGTCCACATTCTTAGAAAACAAAGCTTCCTAACACTAAAGCCAACCCGACACAAACACCAATAGAACCACTTAACATAGTTGAACCCGAAGGCGCCGGAGAATTCGCCGGAGTATTATCAACGGTTGAATTTGGTGAATGAGTATTCTCTGCCGGTGAATCAGCCGGAGTTGGTGATGATGATGGACCACCATGTTGTTTGCGATGGTGGTTTGGAGACAAAACCACCACAATTAGTTTTTCACCTTTTTGGCAATTTTCAACATTTCCACTAATGAAGAAAAAAGGACCAGATTTCTCAAATTTGAAGATTGAGTTTCCACCGTCCATTTTGAGAATTGGATTGTTGGTATTACATGAATTGTAGTCTTGGTTATTTACCACCAACACTGAATCAGATCCTTTGTTATACTTGAAATCTACATACAAAAATCACCAAAAATATAATAAAATTAATACTTAAAAATATAATAATTTCAAAATTATGTATTTCTTATCTAAATAAATATTTATTTTTAATATATTTTTATCTAAATAAAATTTTATTGTTACACTAGAAAGCTAGATATAAAAAACATCACCAAAAATAAAATAAAATAACAATTTCATTTTCATATATTAATTTTAATATTACTTATTTTTTTCAACTAAATAAAATTTTAGACAAAACTACAGTCAATATACGAAACTTATTAGCTAAGAAAGACTAAAACTCGGAAAAGTAAAATTTTATTCATTAAAATACTCTGTTGACCGTTTAATTTAAAAACATTTTCCATGAGTTTTCTAGCACCTTTTGGATAAAGTTAAAACAAACTTAAGATAATTATAAGAATATAAAGACTAAAACTTAGGGAAAGTAAATATAAATATATGTAATAATTTTTTTTGGAAATCATAAACAAAATTTTCTCCATAAATTCAAACTCAATTAACAAAATTAATATTGATACCAGGTATTAAACCCTAACTTCTACCATAAATTCTAACTCAATTGATATAAATTGATAATGACACGTTGAAGTGGTTACTAGGGATTGAACCCTAATACTCTAAAATTGATTTTGTTATTTCATGAAAAAAAAAACTATATTGTCACTATGAAGTTCTTAGATCTAGAGGTAAAAACAAGAAGAAAAACCAGATTTCACTTACAGAGTGTATCATTGATTTGAAACCTGTTTTTGTGAGCCCAAGGACTGTACCATGGTGAGGGTTTCACAGCCCAGCCATCTTTGCCACCAACGTTGAACTTGTAACCATATGACAATGAAGAGGTGAGAAAGAGAATTGACATGAACAAGAAGAAACCGGACTTCATCATTGCCATTGATTAATATGATAAACACCTAGATTTTTCTTGAGAGAAAAATAATCTAATATTATGATTTTCTGATTGGAATATGATGAAAAAAGTGAGGAGTGAAAGTGTTTATATACAGTGAGGTTAGGGTGAAGTGACTGTTGGAAACTTTAGGCGTTTTATAATATGATGATGATATTAAACGCCGGCCTCGTTTTCCTCTAATTATTGTTATTAATTTTTTGGGACAGTTGTTATTAATAAATATTTTCGAACACTACTATTAAGATATGAATTTAACAATATATATATTTTTTATTTCAGTTTATTTACTTACTTTTTTATTTGAATTGTTAGAGTTTTACAATTAAAGGAAAATTTGCGTTTTCTAGAAGAAAAAAAAAAGAAAAGAAAAGGAAAGTTTGAGTTTAAAAGTGCGATGAAATTAATTAAAATTATATGATAATATTACTTAATAATTTAAAAGGATAGAAATGGAATGTAGAAAGAAAGAATGAGAGAAAAATATAACATTACATTATTATATGCTCTTAAAGTATGCACGCTTTATGATGATATATAATTTAAAGATATAAATTTTGTAACTTATAAGAATGTGAGTGATCACGTTACCATTAAAATTTTCATTAGCAATAATTAAAGTCATTCACCAAAGAAAGGAGTAGATGTTAAAAAATGTGGAAGACTAAAAGGAATGAGAGGGTGTTTAAAAGACTTGTTCTTAGATGTTTATTAAATGTATTCCTCGTTAATATTGGATTACTTAAAATGCAATGACAAAAAAAAACTGATAAAAAATGATACAATAATCTATGTGTGGTATTTTTTTTTTTAAAAGTCCAAATATTGAATAAAAAAAATCATGTCCCCACATATTATATTAAAAAAAAAATGACTTATTGAGATTTTAAAAAAAATGACTTATTAAAAAAAATCATGTCCCCACATATTATTTTAAACTTATTTTCTTGTTCGATGATTAATTTATATGCTCAATCTGATCACTCTATAAATACAATTTATTTATTTAACAATTGATGTATATGTTTTATAAAAAAAAGTTAAATTTGCTTATAGTATTAAAAAAGGTTTAAATTTACTTATAGTATGGGATTAAAAAAATGAAGAGTTGTCGTGTTCTTTCATTTTTTATACTATCTTTGATATAAAATATGATTTACATATATTTAAACATAAAATTTTTCTAGAGGCTATATTATATTAATCACTTCTTATTTAATTTGAATATGAAAGATCAACTTTATTCAACACAATATTAAGATTAAAAAACAAATTAAACTATGAATAACACCTCATATATCATATATATCATTTCATTTTGATAAAAAAAAATATAATTTATGTTTATTTAGTTAATGTTAAGATTAAATTTTACTAAAAATATATATACAATAAAATTATTTAATAATTTCATACCGGAACAAATGACGAATGATACATTTAAAATACCATAGTAGAAACGATTTTGGTATGGTGGTGGATGTACGGTTATCTGTAGGGTTAAAACTTCAAAGTTTAAGTAAGTAAAATGAAAGAGACGGAACTTGCAAGTGTGATTATGAATGGATACTTGGGTGTGACTCATAGTCATGCTTATTAAAAAAAAGATAAAGGAAACATAATTGAGAGAAAATATTGAATCAACTATATTGAATGTAACTGAGTCATGTTTTGTTGCTTCGTCATTTAGTATTTATAAAGATACTGATATATCTCATGTGCCAGCTCATCAAGAGTAAGAGTATTAACTCTATTGTAGTCTTATATCTTCATCTTAAAGTGAAGACTCTTTCTAGAAAGGTATTCATTTCAATGTAGAGTGGTTTTATCCACAACTGTGAGTTGCTCCTTGAGTGTAAAGAACCTAAGTGTTGACTAGTGTTTTGTAAGAAGGTTTAGGCATTCTGGAGATGGGCGGGGATGTGTTTTACAAAGAAGGTTTTGTTGATGACTTTTCCCTTACAAAAAAGATATCAAGTTCTATATGCTTGGTTTTAGCATGAAGCACAAGATTACGAGAAAGAGCAATTATACTCAAATTGTCACAATTGAGAACTGGTGGAAGAGTGAGAATTATGAGTTCTGCAAGGAGACACTGAACCCAAAGAACTTATGGTGTTATACTTGTTGCACCCCAAATTTTGACCTCTTAGATCTTCATCATCATTCTAGGATCATATTCATTTAATTATCTAACCATAACCTATTTCAAGTTTGTCTTTGTGGAGATACAGGTGAATTAGGGTTTCGTACAGTCAAGAATCGAGGTTTCGATGGTTTAATCAGTCAATGTATTGGATTGATTCTCCATGAAACAAGTTTCCATATCATCAAAGATACTCCATTGGGTCAAGTATGAATCCAATTTGAGGTTATCACCCAAAGATTAAAGACAGTGCAGTTCAGGATCCCCGATTAGGGTTTTCGATTAGAAAAAGTCAATTGTAGTTTGACTTTTGATTTAAAAGGTGTTCCAATGATGTAATTGTGGTCCATGAGGTACATATGACTTAGTGAAGTCCACTCAAGAAGTTTCAAGGCCTCAGAAGACCTAGAACATCAACAGTCGACGCGGTAGTCATCGATCGATCGTTCGGTTGACCGAAAAACCAACTCTTCAACCATAAGGAATTTGATCTCAAAGTGTGAAGAAAAAATGTTCCTAATAACATATTACACCTATCCATGAAGGTTCATGACCATTGGATCAAGAATTAGGGAGTAATCAAAAACGTCGGAATTAGGGTTTTGAAAGGGGCAAGACCATAACTTCCTAACCACACATCCAAATGAGTTGGTTCAAAGCTTGTTGGAAAGGTCTTGGCAAGCCCTACAAAATTGTAAAACTGACCCATGGCCAAAAAATGCATAGATTTGGAGTTATATCCAAAATCATCACAAGAGGGAGAAAACACTTGGAAAAATTCTAAGTTTCTGGCCTTTTTAGGCATGTTTTTAGCCAACTTTGAGGAGTTTTTTTGACCTAGTTCCACTTGGAATCTAAAGATCATGAAAACATGAAAGTTGTAGAGCTCCATGAGAGCTTTCCAAAAAGTACTAGAACTCCTCCATAGCCATTGTGAGCTGAGAGTTATGAATCCAACAAGTTAGGGTTTCAACACTTGAATGCACCATTTCAACTTTTCCACAAATTCACTTTTCAGCCACTTAAATCATTCTCAACCATTGGATCATGTCTTGATCTGATACTTAGGGATGATGATGGTTAGAAAATGCAGAAAGAATGAGGTTTGAAGGCTTTGCAAGTTGTCAAGCAAGTCGACATTCAAGAAAAACCATAGGAAAGAGAAACTTTATGAGGGAAAACTTACAACTGCAGTCCCCTACACACTAGCTTTACTTCAGTCACCTCCATGTCCTTCATTTCACTTGAGTTTTTCCCTGCATTGAGCCAAGGAAATGATATGCACAGCTGCCACATGACCTTGGATGGTTTTTCTTCCAAAACTTCCCTCCAAAGGCAAAAAATCAAATTTGCCCCAAACTCTTCCCTTAGCCTATAAATAGAGGCTTCATCCGATTGTATTTTTCACCCCAGAGCTATCAAAAACATCACAAATACATATCTCTCTTTCTTTCTCCCTTTGCTTGAAAGTGAAGAAATCTCACAAAACCACCAATTTCTCCACTTTGCATTTTTCACACCAGAGCTATCAAAAACATCACAAATACATAGCTCTCTTTCTTTTTCCCTTTGCTTGAAAGTGAAGAAATCTCACAAAACCACCAATTTCTCCACTTTGCACTTTTCACACCAGTTCTTGTTCCTAATCCAAAAACACTTCAAAGACCATATACACACCCTAAAAATGATCATTTGAAGTTGTTCCCACCATTGGTTTCCTCAGAAAACACTTAGAGAAAAAAGTCAACTTTTCATACACCATAGTTTGACTCTTATGCACATTTCAAGCCAAATCACCACAAAAACATTTTTCCATCAAAACAACACTTGGAACACCTCATGTTCATGGCATTCTGGCTATCCATAATCATAAACACCGGCTGGAAGTCTATTTGCTCAAACTGTCCTCAAAAAACCAATTGTTGCTTCAAAAAGAAGGAAACTCAAAGCTTGCTCAAGGAATACTACAAGAGGTATGTGGTCTTGAACCTTCTCTTCTTTATGCATCATGTGTGTTTGATTTCTGTTGAATATGTTTACACATGTGTCATGTTTGATTTGGTTTGTTAACCATGCCATTAAACTTTGTATACCATGTGTTTTGCTATTAGAATGACTTTAGGGTAGTATGTGTGTTTGTTTACTTTTGTGAAAGTATACTATTGAACATTTGATTGAATTTATGTTTTTGACATTGTTATGTTAAAAACCATCAAAACTGTTTTTAGAATTTGTTAACATGAAGGGTCTAGTTTAGTTGCTTCAACCATAAAACATTGTCATGTTGTTGTCTAGGCTTTAGGCTTTGTTCATGTTAGATCTGTTTAGCTCAGGTAGTGTATATTGGGGTCTGGCTTTGTTATGGCATTGTGGAATGTCTTTGAGTTTTGGTTAAGACTGCTGTTAGAACTTAGGTGTGAACCTGTCTAGTTCATATTGGTAGGTTTTGAGTTGTTGACTTTCTATTTGGGATACTTTACCCCTGGTTTGGTTCTGTTAGGAATCATCATGAGTTTGTCAAACTCATGTGCTAATGGATGTGTGTTTGTCACTAGGGCAATGTGGTTAGGTTTTTACCTTTTAAGAGGACTAGACTGTTGGAATGTAGGGCATTAAGGTTTGATTTTTTTGTGTTGAAATGATGCTCTTTGCTGTCAAAACTACTTTGAAATGGAGTTTGTCAGCTCTTGATGGATTGCTGCTTTAGGACTGGTTTTTCATACTAGAGGTTGGTTTGTTTTTGTTGTGGCAAATTGATGACTGTCTTTGAGTGCCATTTGTGATTCAGTATTTGAGATTGGCATTATGAGAACCAAAACTGTTGATGTCATTGAGATGG